CAATATTTATTTTCTAGTTCTCGGCGGACACAACATTCTTGTTGGTATGTGGTGCTGAGGATCGAACCCGGGCCGCACGCATGCCAGGCCACATTCCCAGCCCATCCCCGGTCCTTTTAATTTTTTATTTTGAGAAAGTCTTGTTAAGTTGCTAAGAGTCTTGCTAAATTTCACTGTGGCCTCAAACTTGTGATCGTCTTGTATCAGCCTCCTGAATTGCTAGGATTACAGATGTGAATCACTGTATCCAGCCAACAGATAACTTTTTAATACTAATGTGGGGGAAACCACAATTAGGTTGATTCTGAGAGTTGTTAATTAAATCTATCTTTCACTTAAAGTTTGTTATAGCAGAAACTTGAATCTCTGGACTAGATAGGAATTAAGGTCATCTGCTATGAAAATTCATTATTAAAAATAGTGAAAATAAGGGCTAGGGTTGTGGCTCAGCAGTGGAGTGCTCGCCTTGGGTTTAATGTGAGGCCCTCGGTTTAATCCTCAGCACCACATAAAAATAAATAAATAAAATAAAGGTATTGTGTCCAACTACAACTAAAAAATAAATATTTTAAAAAATGAGGGGCTGGGGATGTGGCTCAAGCGGTAGCACACTCGCCTGACATGCGTGCGGCTCCGGATCGATCCTCAGCACCACATAGAAATAAAGATGTTGTGTCCGCCGAAAACTAAAAAAAAAAAATAAAATAAAAAAAAATAAAATAAAAATAAAAAATGAAAATAGAGTTTAGAAACAAAGTATATGTGACTGAACTTTAGATACTTATGTGTGGGACAGTCTAGGACATAGAGGGGGGAAAACTGTCACGTGGTTAGAGGAAAGAAGGGGACTCTTGGAAACTTAGCAGATTTCTTAGTAGTCCATGGAAGGTGGCAGGAAGGAACATACCATGAAGTGTCTGTGTACACAAGTTACTAAGATGCTGAGAATGAAGAGTTAGTTGCTGCCAATATTTGGGCCTAATAACATTTTCAATTCAGATTACTTAAGTACTTTCATCATCCTTAAAAAGAGATTTTGCTACATTTAAAGTGAAAAAATGAACCTTTCTTTCAGAACATTTTTTTGGGGGGTACCAGGGATCGAACCCAGGGGCTCTTTACCAGAGCCACATTCCCATCCCTTTTTATTTTTTTGTTTGAGACAGGGTCTTGCTATGTGACTGGGGGGTCTTACTGATTGCTGAGGGTGGTCTTGAACTTGTGATCCTCCTGCCTCAGCCTCCTGAGTTACTGGGATTACAGGTGTTCACCATTGAGCTGGCTGTGAGTTATTTACTGCTTTAGTGGTGTAAAAACTATTGAGCACAAGCATAACAGCTTTAGTTGCTGTACTCCATTAATTGCAGTGGTCAACTGGGCAGAAACTAGGTCTTTTAGACAACAGAAGCCTATATGTGAGTGCCTACTATTAATTAAAGAAGTGGAATTTGGTGGTTAAAAAATGGTGGCTTCGGGAGAAATCACTTTACTTCACACTGACAATGCTTCATGGGGAAGCTGGAAGTGACCACAAGAAGTCTTTGTTGGAGTGGAGTGACTTAAGAACACAGGGCAAGGGGAAATGACATCAGCAAGGGGACACTGAGCCATTTGCTTGAACTAAATAGTATGCTAAACAAATTTAGGCTCCTCTACAGGCCCTTTTTGACCAATTGCCCTCTTCCTGGCAAGCCATAAGGGCTAACAAGATATTTTCACAAATTTTACTCACTGTATAAATTCATTTAGGAATACTTTATATTTTTCCTTTGTCAATGGAAAGATCTTTGGTTTTACCTGTTCTTCCAAGAGGAGGTTGTCAAGACCTTATTTGTTATGAAATTGGGTTTATTTAACTTTGTATCCAAGTGCCTGGGCATCATGGGCCATCTCCTGCCCCTCCCACACCCTCTTGTTTTTGAGTGCTGGGAATTAAACCCAGGGCTTCATGCATGCTAGGCAATACTCACCTTGTCTTTTCTTTAGCAAACACCATACTAATACAAGAACCAAAGAAGACAAAGGGAGACAAAGGCATGGTGTTTCATGTATGTAATCCCAGTGACATGGGAGGCTGAGATGGAGGATTGCAAGTTTTTAAGGTCAGCCTCAGCAACTTAGTGAGATCCTGTCTCAAAAAAGGCTAGGGGTATAATCCGGTGGTAGAGCACCCCTGGGTTAAATTTCTAGTACAAAAACAAAACAACAACAACAACAACCAAAAAAAAAAAAAAAAACAGGGAACTCTTCAGTCTGCTTTATGTTTTGGTTCAAAACTTCAGGTCTCTTCATTGATTTTATTATGGAATCACATTCTTCAGTTATGTGATGATAGTGACTATATGTAAACCATATACTATATGTGTCCACCTACTTTCTTTTTATGGGAATGTTGACTGAATTCAAGGGATGCAGAGGAAAACTGTTCAGAAGTAAGAGATTGGGAAGAACTGTTAAAGTAAGTGTCCTGAAATACTTTCTTCTGAGAATTGCATCCTGTTCTATTGTTAGGAAGCATCAGCGTGGAGGACCAACATTTGGCAGGAGCAACCAGGTGTACCAAATAGTATAGCCCTCTCTAGAACTTGGCCTTTGGCAGGGCCTACCACCGTCCATTTGAACATTATGGTTTTGCATGTTTGTCTAAAAGACAGGAAGCTTCTTTTTACTTTTCTTGATGTTTGAGATTGATGTTTATAATTGTTTTCTTAAAATCCATGTTTTCTTTTCAACAGGGTTGCTTAAGGGAAGTTTGCTTTAAGGAATTTTGAAATAATCATCACCTGACTTTAATTGTAAACTACAGTCAGATAAATAATATAAAGGGAGAGACATTTAAGCAGTCTGTGGTCAGCAGCTTTATTTAAAAATATTTATTTTTGATAAGTAGTACATGTACAAATTCAAAAAGACACAAAAGGGGTATAGTGGAAAGTGTTCCATTATGGTATCTGTCCACCCTGTCGCCCTCCCCACAACCACCATTGTTTCTAAGAATTTATTCCAGAGATATAATCCCATAGATATAACATGAAATAACATGTGACCAAGGATATTCATTACAGCATTATTAGTAAAAGATGGGAAACAATGGAACTATCTTTTGATGAGTCAGTGATTAATTATAGTTTATCCATTCAATGGAATAGTATTCAGCTATAAAATAGAATCAGGTATTTATTTGCAAGCATAAAGTGGAAAAAAGCAAAGTGCCGAACAGCATACATAATATGCCATTTGAAATTTTAATAAGGAAATGTGAGTGTATGCATTCAATATGTTCTACTAGGACAAGAGAGAAAAAAGGTTGGAGGGCAGTGGGAACAGCATTTAGGAGCACAGTGCCAACAGAGTATATTTGAGGAATGGTAAAAAGTTCTCTGAATGATGGGGTGTAAGGTGGAGTGGCAAGGATGAAGTAACAGCTATCCACTTCTCTTGTCTCTGTAGATAAATAGGATGTTACATGCTAATAAATAACCTCCCTTTTTCCTGGGTACCTTTCTTATCAAGGCAATTTGTTTTGATTTTTAGGGTTCTGTAGAAATTGTTTCTAATCTTTTGCTATTACAAATAGTGCTGTAATAAATAACCTCTTACATAAGTCATTTCACATTTGGTGAGAATATATCTTGAAACTTAAACTCCTAGAAGTGGTATTACTGAATCAAAGAGTTAGTGCTATTATGTAATTTTGAAAGACACTGCCATATTGTCTTCTTCAGAGGTTGTACCAATTAATACTTCCAGATGCTTGCCAGCTAGGAGTCTTAACAACCTTTTGATCTTTGCCAATATTTGTAAAACAGTATTTCACTGCATTTTCAGTTTCTTTTATTACAAAGGAAAGACTGCTTTCACACGTTTAAGAACCATTTATTTTTGTTTTGTTTAAATCAACTGGAATAATGA